TACTAATCTCATGATTCAGGATTTAGCCACATTCTTTGCAAAATAATAAATTTGCTATTTAAAAAAACAAACAAATAAAGAAATAAAGAAGACTATAAACAAACTAAAACTGTGACCATATTGGGATTTTACATTTTTAAAAAGAAATATCACCATATCTATGTTTTGTAGCATATGCTGAGGTCTTTGCACATTTACAATGCTGGAAAAAAAAAAAAAACTCTTTTACCGGAGACTGAGATGGTTCTTGTGGAGTGGTATGCCCTTCCTGAACTAGAGAGCAGTGTGTACAGAAGTGGTCACTGGGCCCTCTGCTCCAGGGGACTGGCCACTGGCATAAAAATCTGATTATAAAGTGGCTAATTATATAGTAGGATAGAGACAGGAGGTAAACATGATTATGAAGGTGAATAAATAATATTACTTGCATAATTAATTAGTATAAGTATCAGTGTGGTACACTTAAGAAGAGATAATCTTGAACATTTTTAAATTGAAAAGGAGAGGGTAAAAAATGATCTAATAGCTGGTTCTGTAGCAAAACAACTTTTTCTTTCAGTCTGAAAAACATCTTCAAACTTTCGCTATGAAAAGACTGATGCAAATCATTCGATCCACATGGTTTGGCTTACTAATAGTGTTTATTGCATATAGACGTCCGTGACTGTAGTTTTTCACTGTGATGTTAGTTTATGTGCATCATATTCGTTCTTCTGTTAGTTAACATCTTTTTGCAGGATTTGCACACAGTTTGTGTTTTGTCTGATGCACTTCACCGCTGTCATTTTACTTTGCCACCTCACCTTTTGCGCGCCCCTGATGTGCAGGTAAAGCGAGCTTGCGCCTGTAAACAGCGCCCCCTCTGTTTAACATTTCTACCTGTTTGCTCGTCAGATATTTAATTAAATTTTTAACCAGCTCACTGTAAATCATTACATCCCTATTAAATACGTATAAATTATCTTCAGAAAAAAGCATTTGTAAACCTGAAAAGTACAAAAGTTTAAAAAAGTTGTTTATTTTCTTTGATTCACAGATTAATATCAATCTGAATCTGAAATTGAATCTTAATATTACAAAAAGATTACTGGTGATAAAACCATGAAATTACCGGTCCACCTGAAAATCATAAGCACAACAGTTTTATCACGATTTACCAAAACATCTTGGGCTAACCAGTATTTTTGACAACTTTTTGTTTTTAATGAATTCTCAAAATATTAAAAAAAGAGATAATTTGTGTTTTTTATTGCACATTTGTACATTTCAATGTAATTTCTTTCTTATTGTGACAAATATACAAGTACTCTGAAAAAAATGAGTCAGAGATGATTTATTATTTTACTACATTTTTTAAGCGGTTGTAAGCAATTTATTTTGGTTAAATTTAAACAAACAAGATAAGTTAAACATTACTATCTTTGTTTGTTAAAGTTCAACACAGAAATAGTTTGCAACAAGTTTCTTGTTTTATTTTCAGTGTATATCAAACAGTTTTTCAGACAAGACAAAAAAAAGTAAGAATTGGCACTTAATTTAGTCCATTTTGCTATTGGTTGGTCTCTTGTGAGTGACAGTTATCCTGTCCTCAAGCCAAGGGGGGTCCTAGAAAAGTAAGGGAAATAGATTGAACAGGGCACATTATAAACTTAATAATGCATTTATAATAATAATAATAATAATGCAGTATTCCGAAGAAATGTAAAAAATCGTATTTCATGGTGACTTTAGACTTTCAAACTCCCACATAGGAAGTGGGAGTTTGAAAAGACAGCATAGGATGTAGAGCGGAGAGGAATAGAGGACAGAAATGAGTCAGCTCGGTAAGTCGTGGAAGAATGAGAGCATTACTGGATTAGAGAAGAGACACAAAGACGTAGTGTGAAAACCATCAAGAAGCGCAATGAATGGGTGGAAATGTGACGAGAGAAGAAGAATGTTAAGGTCGGGGGTAACACGGATGAAATCATGTAAAGCCAGGAAGAGCAGGACGTTCGGGGAGGGGGAGGGAAGAAGGCGGCTGCAGGGGGAGGAGCTACTGAACGAGGTTAGCCAGTCAGAGATGGCGAAGCTCTGCAGGGGAATCTTCCCTTGGCAACACAAACATGCACCCGCCCCGTAAAGGAGAGACAGCAGGGAGAGAAATACAGGGACAGGTGAACAGATGGAGCCGACTCAGAGACAAGCTGATCAGCTGACCCGCTCCTCACTGAGTGTGTGTGTGTGTGAGAGAGAGCGTTATGTATGAACGATTGAGCTTGATCAAGTGCTTGCAATGTTTGTTTTTTATTATCATTCACCAAAGCATCATTTTAATGATAAATTATGAGTTGCTAGGGCTAATTGATATTGCTTGACTTTGTGACCCCAGAACAGCCTCAAATTGGGCAGGGTTTTGAGGTGTATTTATAACTTCTTTGAGTGATTAAACTTAGAATTTTGCTTGGTAGAAAATGAATGCAAGTATGTCTGATGTTAAAAGAGCTAGTTTATGCAAAATCACGTTTTAGTTACTGCATGTATTACTGTAATAATATGCAATGTTAACATCATCATTGTTTTACATTATCTGTGTATACACTACAGTTCAGATGTTTTGGGGTAAGGCTGCACAATTCTGGCTAAAATGAGAATCACTTTTTTTTTGGCTTAAAATCAAGATAGCGATTTTCTCACAATTCTGTAGACGTAAAATAAAGGTTAATATGAGTAGGCTAATATTATTGTTATTTCCCAAACATTAAACAACAATAATATTAGGCCTATGTGTTAAGTCTACTGTTGGTTAAAATGCTAAATGTTGTATAGACTTGGGATGGTGGAATTGAACAGACTTTAAATGCCCTGGTCATTAATGTACAGTAAAGTGAGTGCATCAAAATACAACTATTCATTATTCTGAAGTTGAATTATTGTGTTTGAGACGTATGCTTGCAATCTGTTACTGACAACATTATCAGACTACTTTTAAAATGAGACATTTGTCATTGTCAGATTCTCTCCTGCACTATATTCCAGATTATATAGGGTAGAGAGTAGTTGACACTGATACACGTTTATTCTATTACACAACTCTCTGTGTTCGATAAGAAAGAAAAAACATATCAAATACTTGTTGTAATCATAACTAACATACTCTAAAATGCAATATGATTATTTAAATGAAGTGCCAGGTTTTGGTTTCACTTTCTCTGCCGAGTGCACTCATTCAGCCGCAAAAACATCATTAGATGAAGACAGAAAATACATTTTTGGGTGAATTATACCTTATAAAAATTGTATGTGACTCTTTCAACACCATTTGGAGCTGTCCATCTTGCTGGGCAAGATAAATAAAACCATGTAAAGACTTTTACAACCACCTTTACACTTCTCTCCTAAACTTCAAAATGTAATTGGCTGAATCGTAGGGATGCTGGGTTAAGAATTAAGAAGAAGGGTCGATTATTTATTTATTTTTTTTTTAAATAATCGTGCATCTCTATTTTGGGGAGTGTTTGTTTTAAAGAAATGAATACTTTTATTTGGCAAGATTTTAATGTATTGATCAAAATTGGCAGAATGACTTTCATTGATAAATTCTGTCATTCTAATCTTTCTGTTGATCACAATGTGAAACATTTGTTGACAATAATCAAAACATGTCTTGATTTTAGAATTATTTCTGAAGAATCAGGTGACACTAAAGGCTGGAAAAATGGCTGCTGAAAATTCACTTTTGCCGTCACAGGAGTTTTAGGAAGTATGCTATGGTTAGAGCTGGCTGATTTAGCCTAAAATCAAAATCTTGAATAATATAATATAATATGCTCACATATTTCAAGTGACAGATTTTTGAATGAAAGGTGCATTACTGAATTTTAAAATAATTGAGGGAAACGCACACTATCCTCTATCTATAATTATTTAATGAGCATCGGTGTTGAACAACTAAAATTAAAACACACATTGCCTAAAACAACAATCACTTTTTAATTATGAAAAGAAGTATAAATCAGACTTAACAGAGTGGGGTCACGTGAAGAGGTAGGGAAAGTAATTGAAAAAACTGATCTAGATAAATTTGATCGATTATAGGTTCTGAATGCCACTTACTTTTCGATGAATCACACAGCCCTACCTAAGGGTTATAATATAATAAAAACAGTTATTTTAAAATCACTGTTATATTATTTTTAATGTGTTTTATCATTTTAGATTAAAGAGCAATTAAGAGAATCTTACCAACCCCAAACTTTAAACCTGTAGTGTATATAAAAATGTATAAAAATGCATAATTGCAGTACAAGTGTTAATTATCCAATTAGCAGTGTTGAGCTGAATAACACGCGGTCAGTTTATTTTATGCTTCATTTCCTTTGCACATCTTTTATGTCACTGTGACCTCTATGAGAAGCAGAGCTTAAAGCAGTTTTTTTCTCATTCAGCCTTGATACCCCCATCAAAGCTACTTAGAGAAAATCTTGTTTTGCAAAATCTCCTCAAAAAAAGACTTGCGCTGTTTCCAGGCTGAAACCGATAAATTGAGTTTCTCTCTTTTCAACTTTTTTCTATTCCATGGTTGTCTGTGTGCTCTGCAAGTTTCATCATTTTCCATGTCATGGTGTAAAATCGAATTTAGCCCCTTCAAACCCTCATGAAAGATTTAGCCGATGTACAGTGTGTCACACATTACTCTACTGGTTTCATAAATCAATGCTGCTTTTCTCTCTGATTGACGTTTGTGTTTCTAAGTGTGAAATGTGCTCCTTTTCTTTTCCTGCTCCGATTGCTTTAAGACGTTGAGAAAGAAAGGCTTTAACGGTTGCAACAGTCCGGAGCCAGACGGAGACGATTCGATTGACCAAAGTCCATTACAGGAGGACAAATACCGGAAGAGCGAGGAGCTGGATATCCTCTTCAAACGCTACGGAGTGAGTATTTTTCTTCACCTTGCCGTTCTAACCTCCGTCCTTCTCTTTCTTTCCTTCTGTCTCTCTTCGCTCCTCGAATAAACCAAGGCTCTGAACAAGAAAGAGCACCGTGATTCGGAGAGCCCGGACCCCGAGGAGCCGTTCTCCCTCACACCTCGCACAGAGGAGAAGTACAAAAAGATAGACGAGGAGTTTGATAAAATGATGCAGAGCTATAGGCTTTCAGTGAGTACCCGTGTGAAGAGGCCTGCTCTCGGCCCAGCAACCAACTCACACAGCCTGCTGCCGGCCCGGCAAACCAACTCACAGAGCACCTCGCACCCATTTCTCACCCCATCCCCACCCCTCAACCCCCTCTGAATGTGTGTGCTTGGGCAGGAAGAGGGCAGTCGGAGCCTGAGATCCCTCACAATCCACTTTTGCCAAACGAGCTTGTGATTTATAGCTGTCTTGATTCTGCGTGCTGTTGTTTTGCGTTTTCTGTGATGACTGATGCTTGTATCGCGTTAGCCAGGAATAGACTTCTGAGTCATACAGGTCCCGTTTCAGGCGTCGGCGAAGATGATTTTCATTAAGACACTGTCAAGAATGCTTAATGCATGAGGAATCTCCTCTCTAGAGGTATAGAAACAAGAACGTGCTGCTCGCTAACACTGTGTGTCGAGGGCCAGAGTTTGATACAATTTACGTGGCGAACAGGATTCAACTTAATCATAGCATAGGAACTAGTGTTCTTCTTCCACTGTAATGTTATCGAACTGGATAAAACTTGCTTGGGAGAAGAATACAAAAGTTTTTCCCAACATATGCTCTCTTACAACATTTTTGACTTTGTCACAAGTGGTCGACGTAAAATTCAGATGTTAGCTTTAAGATGTAGTGAGCACTCAGCTCACAATTCGTTACTATTTACAATTCTGATTTCACAAGTTTTCCCAAACAAAATGAGTTGAGAATTTATAAATGAACAAGTGGCCCTTTATTACTTCTCAAATGCTGCACATTTCTATGTAAAATAAATATATATTTTGACAAGTAACAAAAATAAATTACAATTTAAAACAAATGCTCAATAAAAGTGTGTGACAGAGATGGAAAAAGAAAGAGAGAAAACTTTGTACAAATTTGCTAATTACTATCCCTACTGCAATCTACTACTTCAATCTCCTATTTCAGCCTGATCTCATGAGAAAACTGATATAGTGGCCAATTCGTATGAATTCTTACAATCTCATTCGTACAATTTAGCATGATTTGCTTATCCCCAAATGATAGTTGGGTTTAGGGGTGCAGTTGGGTGCCACGCATCTTTTAAAATCTGACATTTTGTTCAACTGAACTCCTATAAATTCATACAAATTAGCCAATAAACTGACAAAACGTAAAATAGCTACACTACTTCAATCTCCTATTTCAGCCTGATCTCATGAGAAAACTGATTTAGTGGCTAATTCGTATGAATTCAGTCTCATTCATATAATTTAGTATGATTTGCTTATCCCCCAATGACGGTTGGGTTAAGGGATGGGGTTGGGGTTCTTTTTAAAATCACACAACTGAACTCAAATAAATTCATGTGAATTAGCCAATTAACTGACAAAACGTGAAATTACACTACTTCAATCTCCTTTTTCAGCCTGATCTCCCTAGGAAACATAGCTATTTTACGTTTTGTCAGTTAATTGGCTAATTTGTATGAATTTGTGCGAGTTCAAAAAAGGTGGTGTAGCATCCCAAACTCGCCCCTAAGCCCAACCGTCATTGAGGGATAAGCTAATTGTATTAAATTGTATTAATGAGATCATAAAAATGTATGCAAATTAGCCACTAAATCAAAAAGTTATGAATTGCTTTGAGATTGTGTTCCTTATTTATCTTAAAGGGGTAGTTCAACCAAAAATTTAAATTTACTTACTATTTACTCACCCTCAAGTGGTTCCAAACCCTTAGTTTCTTTATTCTGTTGAACACTGAAGAAGATATTTGAAAGAAAGATAAAAATTTGTAACCACTGATCTTTGTTGTCCAGCTTTGTTTAAAATGTGTAGGTGTTTTTGTCCAACAGAAGAAAGAATCTGAGGTCACAAAAGTTTGAAACAAGTAAATGATGGCAGAATTTACAATATGGGGTGAACTATCACTTTAATACCAGATGTAACCAGTGCCCTGTTTCCACTTGAACATGTTCAACACAACTTTTAGAGCACATAAATTTGGCATCATCCACTTTGGAACAAAAAAGCAGCTCAACATCAGATATAGCGCCAGTCCTAAAGAAGATTCACACTGGTCTCCTCCCAGTGTATCGTTCACGGGCTAGAGCACAAAAAGAGTCATCCAGCACCTCTCTCTTTCTCTGCCATATAATCCCAGCATGAGTGCCTGAGGAAGCAAAGCTAAAACCTTAATCCCTCTCGCAGGGGACACCCAGCAGCATGTGTACTACAAGCTCTACTTAACAGGCCAGAAAATGATCAGTTTGTAATGAGTTTTTAGATATTCACCACTAACTGTCTGACTTGGCTGTCATGGCAACCACAGTGCTTAAAGCTGGAATGTTAGTAGGAAATATGCCTGCTCTATTTTTGTTAATTTTAATAGAAATATTTAATATAAAGTACTTGAAAGTAATTTTAAATTGTAATCTAAACTTTTTATTCTGACGCTGTTTCTGTGTCAACTAGGTATAAAAACAAAAATTTCTTATTAGGGTTTCATATATATAGTTAATAATGCAAAAACATTATTTAAAAGTTTGGGAATGACAATATATTTTATGTTATTTTATTATAAAAGCAATTTACCTTTATTCAGCATGGATGCATTCAGTTGATGGAAGTAGTAAATAGGCAAATGCTTACTTACTCCCAGGGCCGCTTATATCGAAGTTGATATTTGGCCGCACCATGTTGGTGTTTCGTAATTTTTATGAGGTGGGTTGTTATCCCAAAGCTCAACCCCCAACCTGGAGGACCAGATGTACACATATACACTATGCCCAATTTAGCTTACCCAATTCACCAGCACAATAGCGCATAGCATCTTTAGACTTGTGGGAGAAACTGGAAACCGGAGCACCCGGAGAAAACCACACAGAAATGCCAACTGACCCAGCCGGGACTCAACCCAGCAACTTTCTTGCTGTGAGGTGATAGTGCTAACCATTGTGCCACCATGCCACCCTAAATAAGCAAATATATAGAAAAAATAATTAATAAATAAATATTAAAAAACGCTGAAAAATCTCAGAAAAAAAAAACATTTTAATGCACTACTAAAGAAACTATTAAAAAATATTTTCAAAATAAAATATTTTATAACATGATGAAATAAATGCGGCCTTGTAATCATAATTAATAATAATGTAATCAAATTAATAATAATAATAATAAGTATGTTGGCGCCACTAGCCTAGTGGTAAGGTCGTTGACAGAACACCGATGTGCTCACGGCGACCCGAGTTTAAATCCTGGCTCGAGGTCCTTTGGCGATCCTTCCCCTTTCTCTGCTCCCCACACTTTGCTGTCTGTAAAATCTCCACTGTCCTGTCCTAATAAAGGTGAAAACCCCTAAAAATAATAAATTATATTAAAATAATAATAAGTATAAAATACTTTATTTAAAACATAAATTACTAACCCCAGGCTTTTCAGAGCTACTGTTAGTATAGGATATTGACTTGCTTTTGGTCTATATTTAATTTTTTGGTTGCATTTGGCAATTACAAAGTGTGTTAAAGTTAATCTTTAATACTTTTTAATGACACTGTTGAATTTAATCTTCTGTGGATCTTTAAAAAGTTGCAGCTTTGTAAAAAGAAATTAAATCACTTTTAAAATCGTCTTTTGATCAAAATCTGCTCATTCTGTCATTTATTTATCATACAGTGCCCAGCATAACTGAGTACGTCCCATTTTGAAAATTAATATTTCTATCCATTTCTTAGTGAATATAGTCAATGTATTTTGGTGCATTTAAACAAAACAGATTTATTAAACAGATACATTTATTCAAATAATATTTTAGTCATCAAACATATTTAGAAATTAAAAGACAAAACAATTAAATTCAAGTAAAATATTGCAAAAAAAAAAAATTGCAACCTACAAAATTTCAACAAAAAATTTCCCTTTTTGTGCTTCTTTTGATTTTTCCTCTTTTTAAAATATTTGTATTTAAAATTTTTCTCTTACATATAAACTTGAGTGTTCTCGTTTTTTAACCATTATCGTAAGTTTTGTTAGATAAGCTTCAGATTTGACTTCAGTACTGACTAATCTAATGTAAATGCACAAATATAATATTGTATAGCTTCCTATTAAAAATATGAATTTCAAAGACAGATTTGTGAGGGGTGCACTGTATATTTTTATGCTGTATTAATGGCCTTATTTATATCTACTGAGTAATCACCTCCATTGAGCTCCAATCCAAAAATTCCAAGTTGCTTCCCGAAACCAGTCTTTCTCACTTCACTGGTCATGCGCTTCCTCAACGTCACAGTCACCAAGTGTCTTTCCTTTCACAGTTGTCTATCACTTGTGTGTGTGTGTGTCTAGACTGATATTATATGGAGTCTGTTGTACTTGTCTTCAGTTGTTGAAGACACATTCGGATTTGTGAGATTGCACTTCTTGCTGAGAAATTGAAGACTATCAAGCTATTTTTTACCCAGTCTTGGTGTCAAAATTCACAGGTGGTTTGTTTGGTGCTCCATATTTTGAAAGCAGCTGCTCGTCTCACACTAATGACCCTCCCCTGTCCTCAGTCCCTCCTGCCCTTCACCCTGCCTGGCCTGCGTGCAGTGCTGGAAATTAGTTGCTGTTTCGTCCACAGGCTCAGTCTATAGCGTGCTGTGCTACATGGGTTACTCCTCTTAAAATTTCTTTGAAATAGCTTTGGCATCAGTACATTTTTTTACAAAAATGTTATTACAAAAAATGTACACTTAAATTCTGATATAGCAAAAAAAAACTTTTGGAGGTTAAAAATCCTCTGAAAATCTGATCAAAAACACAACATTTTATATATGTTTAAATGAAATCTTCAAATCAGTATGCCAATATCGTATGCAAATTTTACAGAAGATGTACAAATCGATTTACATTTTTTACAGACGATGTATGCTTAAATTCTAATGCCAAAAAAAAAAACTGTTAGAGGTTAGAAAGGCTCTAAAAATCTGATAAAAAGCACAAAAATAAAAATAATATGTTTAAATGAAATTTTAAAATCAGCATCCTGGTTTCACATGCTAATTTTACAGACGATGTACGATTGATTTACTTAGTTTACAGACGATGTACGCCTAAATTCTAATGCCAAAAATACCTGTTAGAGGTTAAAAATGCTTGAAAAATCTGATCAAAAACACAAAATGTTATATATGTTTAAATGAAATCTTCAAATCAATATGCCAGTTTCATATGCTACTTTTACAGACTATATATGAATTGATTTATAGATGATGTACGCTTAAATTCTAATGGCATAAAAACCTGTTGTAGGTTAAAATTGCTCTAAGAATGATATCAAAAACACCAAAAATGTAATTTTGTTAAATAATATCCCTGTTTCATATGCTAATTTTACACTTTATTATTTGTTTGCTAATTTTAGTGAACTTGGAAAAACAGTGAGCAATATATAGACAAAAAAATCGGGGGAAAACTTTACATTATGATATACCTAATTTATTCATTAATTGTATTGTTTATGAACATAAAATTCAAATTGAACCATTGATCTGTTTGTTATTATATGACACTATTTTATAGAACAGAACTAAAATGAACCAACAGTTTTAATAACAGCTAACAGTTTATTTAATTAATTATGTATTAATTTTCAAAAGATTACAAGTACTGGAACAAATGTTTTGTTCATTGTTAGTTAATAGAAGTTATTACATTGACTAATAGGACATGTTACCACAGAGTTGTGATACCCTTCCTTAATTGGTTATCTATTAAAGCCCATTTCCACCATGGAAAAAACTCACCATTCTTGTTATTTACTTATAATTGTGAATCTTTAACTCACAATTTTGACTTTTTCACATAATTGTAAGCTTATTTTTTAATTATGGATTATCATCTCATTTTTTTTGCTATTGTAAAACATGTGATTTTATAACCTTTAAAAAAATTGCTAGACAATGGTGCAAAATAAATGTAGAATTTAAAAAAAAAAAGCCTCTTAAACCTGTCGTCATGAGAAAAAATTATGTCAGAATTGTGGGAATAAAAGTCCCAATTTCCTTTCTGTATTATAATTTTTTTTTAATCCTGAGTTGAAAATGTGTTTCCATAGTAATCACCCATATACGGAGACCAAAACCCTGCAGTTTCTTTCCGACATTATAACCTGCGCTCTTCAAACTACATTTTTCTACTGACGCTTCGACAGAGAGGCTAGAGGAGAAAGGGAGAAGGACAGAGGAACAGCCAGACTAACTCTATCAAACTGGGTCCCACTCAGAACACAGGAGGCCTAGTGCGGCCCACATTCTAATTTTAGAGGCCCTGGTTTTGCTGAGGATCATGGGAAAATGGGTCTCCATCAGAGCATCTGGACAGTTTGAGTCCACACTGATTGCTGAAGCTGGTTAATTGGCCTTCAGAAAACAGAAGAACGAAGCTTGGCTGACTCAGGAATTGTCACGGCCACATGCCCCTTGTTTGAAACACCTGAGCCTCCCCTGCACCGTGGGTTATTCCCTAGAGTCATATTACCAGTTTAAGGACAACTGTTGCAGACTAAAATGCAGTATAATAGCTTCACTACTAAACAAAAATATGCCTATCTGCTTGTTATGTCTGATGCCATGCATCACTGTTTTCGTTTTCGGGTCCAAACACAAATCAGCTGCTAAAAGTAAATGTGGTTAATATAGACTCATGTTGTGCATATTGTTGTACGACAAACAAATTATTCAGGTTGCATAAGCTCATTCTGGACAGCGTGCACAAGGCCAGATGTTTCCAAACTTTTCAGCTCACAAGCCCTAAAATAACAATGCTAGTGACTGGAGACCATCACTATCTTTGGATGTGGTTATAAATATACAAATACTGCACTGCCCACAAATACCAATATTCCTAAAACACAAGCATAATACAACATAAATAAATGCAACAGTCTTACAACCATTAGGGCTGTAACGATACACCAAACCCACGATTCGGTTCGTATCACGATTTTTGATCCACGATTCGGTTCGTATCACGATTTTTTTTTTCGTGTGGGGTGGGAAAAAAAAAAGATTTTTAAAACTATTTTTTATTTAAATAACATTTGAAAAATCTTTATAAACTAAACATTAAAGAACAATATTACCTATGCAAATTATTAACAATATAAATAGCCATATATAAAATAAATAAATAGCCAAAATATCACTTTTGTTTTCTTTGTAACAAAATACTGTTGAAAAACCAAACAGAGCTAAACTCCATTGTGTAGATGTTTCAAGCATGTTGAAAATTCTTTTTAAATATTGCATTTTAAAATAGGCTACTGATTTATTTTTAAATGCTAGCATATTAATAACAGAACAGAACAACAGAGCATCTTCACGCACCTGCAGTGTTTAGCACAGAAGAGCAGAATAATCTAAATAAAATGAATAAAATAAATAGGACTGCCCTAAATTATTTTCATTTAAATAATTAATTTATATTACAAAACGAAAATACTGACTGATTCTTTTTAATAACCGGCATAGGCTGTTTTTTCCCAATCATGTTTTTTCTTCCATCAAACCATATAATGTTTTTATAGTAAATGATAAATTTCAACATTAACCTCATTTAATGAAAACACCGTAAGTCCATTTTCGGTATAATTTTTGAGACTGACACTCAGAGATAATCCTTCACGTTCAGTAGTGACTTGTATTTATTTTTAATGTATATGAGTGATGAAAAGGTGTCTAAAATGTTCAAATATTTGTGTGTTTTTAATATAATGTAGTCACCTAAGGGGTTGCAAACCACTGAATGAATTTGAAGTGTTTTTTTATCTAAAGGCTAAAGCCTTTTTATTAGCAACATATTTGAAAGGTGCGTTAGGTGATCTGCCAAAATGCTAAAAGGTTAACATAATATCTTTGAAACACAGTCCCTCCCCTGCCATCCAAAGCCACACCTCTTGAAACGCGAACGCACACACCTTAAAGATGAAAACCTACTAGATCGTTTGCCAGTTAGAAAACTGTAAAGTACTTTATAACACTACAATTCTGAAAAAAAAACTGTATTATATCAAGCACATTTTCATTTGTGTAGCAAGCAAAACTTGTCAGTATGTGCAATATTTCAAGCATGCAAGGATCACTAGTCTCACTCTTTCACACGCTTTGTCCTAAAGCAACTACTGTATGCTTAGTGTTTGGCTGGAGGGGTGCAGGAATTACACTTATTACTAAGCCATACTTACAGTACATGCTATTTCAGACTAAATATTTAAAGTAGCATGGTAAAACCAATATAGGGACCGCTTCACAGGTTGTCATTGTTTAAAAATAAACCATTGTGAGTTGAATATAAAATCAACTTCACCTCAGTCCAACAGGCTAGGCAGAATAGCGATATTATGTTTTGCTGTTAAACTAAATTAAAATCTACAATATCAATGCTGTAAAAGGTCCCTTTAGAAATTGAAAATAGTCACATCAATCTATTGACGAAAGATTTCAGTGCAACAACACTGAATCCGTAAAACAACCAAATCCACATCAGCTACTTATCAGAATTAAGGGAATCGTCGGCACGACAAATTTTAATTGGATGAACATTTTTTATCATTATGTCTCACCCAGAATGTGTAAATACATATTTATATATTAAGACCATTTACTTTAATCATTATTATTAGAATGTAAAGAGACTTTCAACCAGCACAACAACAAAATATTTTTGAAGACAATCACCTACTGCACCTTTAATGTATCGATTAACTACTATTTTTATATGTAGTTAGTTTGGATAAAATATGGCAATTCTAATAGTTTTATAAAATGTATTTGAATTTTGGAAATCATCAAGCAATCCCCCTTCCCCCCATAGTGTCCTGACCCCCACTATGGGAACCACTGCATTGTGCGATTAGCAATTAGAAATATTTGTAAGGGAGAGGTGAATTAAAAAAGAAATAAAGCTTGATCATGTTACACTGTACTCCATAAACGCAATCAAACCTTCATACATAGCTGACTGACGTTCACACTTTGAACTGTTTGTGCAGTACTTAGTTTGCCCACAGTAGCGACACTGAACCAATTCCTTGTTTCTCAGTTTGGAAAGAAAACTGAACGAGAACAACAACAAATGAAGGCAGCAAAAACAGTTTAAGAGTATGTGTGAGAAGAGCAAAAGAAAAAAGCTTTTCGTTTCCAGCCAATCAGGAAAATCGACCATTTTCAGTTCTTCCGAAATTAACGTTGCACTTCGTAGCTTCACGTGCTCTGCTTTGGAGATGTTTGCACAAGTCACTGCATGCTATTAAAACCAGTGTGTGGCCATTTGCGTGTTATCTTGATGTACATGAAAGTATGCAAGTTGAAGCCGCTAACCTCTTCCCCTCTTTATCTGTGCTTTCTCAGTCCACAGTGCCAGCGCCCACTTTCTCCATGCCAGTCACAGTGCCGGTGTCCAATCAGAGCCCGTTGCCATTCAGCAATCCAAGCAGTCTCGTCACCACTTCCTTCGTCACCTCGACCCTCACAGACCCACGCCTGCTTTCACCACAGCAGCCCCAGCTCCAGAGGAACACGGTTTCTCCAGGCCTGCCACAGAGACCCGCCAGCGCAGGTAAAAACCCTAAGCACATCACTGCTGCTGGGTACCAGTGAGGAAAGCAGGAAGGAGGAAATAGTAACTCATGCAGTGTTGTACATGAGCTTGTAATGTTGCCCTGTTGGTGTCGGATTACACAGAGCAGCTGTTTCTGAGACACACCACTGATTTCTGCAGAAAAGTGCCTCTAAGACCTTCTTCTTCTCTACTATGGAGTGGTTACATAGTGAACTTTCTAATTCTGTTAATATGTGATGCAATTTTTTTACGGTACAGTATAAAGACAATTTTGGCTAATTATTCAGATTTTAACTTTATTCAGTATTCATTGATTTTGCATATTTAATTGGGCTGCTATTTGTTTTGCTATAATTCAATTCATTTCATGTTTATTTCCATAATCCTGTTTATTTTACAATGTAGATTGTGTCAAAGCAGCTTAACATAGAAGGTTATAGTGAATATAAACAGTGTCAGTCAAGTTTTCAAAGTTCAGTTTAGTTCCGATCAGTGAGATTTAATTTTCACTGCTGAAAGTCCAAACACTGAAGAGCAAATCCATTGATGCGCAGCTCCACAAGTCCCAAACCAATCAAAGCAGTGGCCAGGAACAAACTTTACCAATTGACGAAAGTGAAGGGAAAAAAACTTTGAGAGAAGGTCATCATCATCTAAGAACTATTTAAATTAGTCAAAAACACTAATTTAAAACAAAATTAATTCTTAAAGTGCATGATTTTTCAAACTACACAATATAAATTTATCTAAATTAAATATTGTAATTTCATTAGATTTTTAATCTAAGGATGTCCCTATCAGGTTTTTTTTTGCCCCTCGAGTTCAAGTCCAAGTCAATGGATTTTGAGTATCTACAGATACCAAAACCCGATTCGATACTTCTATAATACATAAAAAAAAGAATAAAGAAGAGCAAAGAAACAGATCCAGGATGATTTTTTTTATTTAATTCACCTTATGTGAACAAACTGATAAATTCTGTGAGATAACATAAATTCCTTACTTTTGGACATGCAACAGTAAATATAAAAACAAATAGCACCTCAACTTAAAATACCCGGCAGGCAATGCCAAGTTTACTTACAGTATCTCAGTTGGCTATGGCAGTGTTGTCATCATCAACTTTATAATATTTCCAGACAGCAGACATACTCGCTCTTTCCTCTTCAAACTGCTTCCATGTTCTACTTTGCCAGCATTTAACCAATAGCATCTCTGCAACAATTGATGCACACATGCGTTGCTGTTTCTGTGACACTGTGATATATATCACTGTGATATATATATATATATATAAGTTGTTCAAACTACTTAATTAAAATGAGCTGAAACATCACAATTCTTGACATTTCATTGGGAAAATGTATTTTTTTTATGTTCAATCCACATAAATTTGTTAAAAGTGTCAAGTTAACTTAATCAATTTGTGTTGGGACTGCATAATTGAATTGTGTGGAACCTTGCATTTTTTACAGTGTACTGCCTTATCTTCGTGTTGGAAGAATCCCCCTTCCACCCCATCTCCTCCTTTTCCAGGGGGAGCCCTTGAGACACTGATCTTGACCCCCTTTTATATGATCATTGACCAGGCAGGAGACTTGGGCTCAATTATCTCCCAGCTCAGGGTTCTCTCCCTGGACAGCATGGCAAACCTGCTATTAACCTCAAGCATATTTAAGTGTGAACTCTTAAAAATGTATTTAATATTTCAACCACTGACAGTGAACTGCTATTATTAACCTTAAAACAAATTCTGTAAGAAATGTACAATTTTACGTAATTGTTTGTTAAATGCATGAACAAATGGAAACAATAGAACCTTTACAACATGAACAGGAATTGCTTTTAATGTTGTATAGAAATCGAATAGTAAATGGGGTTCACAGCATCTCATTGTGATCACTCAAAGGAGAACATTTGTAGTGTGAACATTAACGTGTTCTAATGCATCCTTGAAAACTTGAAGGACTACTGACTCATGTAACATAATCACTGTTAGGAAAAGCTTTGAAAGAAATAACTGCTCAATCGAATCATTTCAGAACGGAAGCTTTTATTGCCACCAGGAACAGACAATGGAAATTGTAGGAACAGCTGTGTAACATGCATGAGAGACAGTTTAAAAGTGCATATACAGACATTTGTTCAGTCCAGACAGCTGTTATCACTGAATAAACAACGAAAAGGGGAATCGAGACCCCAACGTGAAACTTGAATCACTTTGAAAGGGTTTATTTTCTTATAACAACTGACCTGATGTACATTATCCCATACAAGTAAACAATTAAATATTGATTTGAGTGGAAATATTTTAATAGCTCTGTGAGTGCAAACATCTGTTATGAAAGCAGTTGCTAATACGTGGCATGATCAAACTAGAAGGTCATTTAAGGGATACATTTTATTCATAACAATTATTTCACACTAAATGTGCTGGTTTTATTAATTTTTATTTTGCTATTTTTGGGTCATAGAAACAGTAAAAAATAATTATCATTTTAAAAATTACCATTTCAATATTCCATATTCAATATTATCTATTCAATATTATTTATTCCTAAATGTAATATTTTTATTATAAAGCCACATGTTTATTATGCCTCTCATCAGTCTTACATGATCTTTCAGAAAACATTCTAATAGACTGATTTGGTGCAGGAAACATTTATTATTCATATTAATAGTGACATATTTTTGCTGCCTAATATGTTTTGTGAATAGAAAGTCAAAAATATAAGCAGGTTTAGATGATATTATTGTTATAGTGTGAAAGTCTTCACTAATGATTTAAAAAAACTCGAAATACTTCCCCCAAAATACTTTCCCCAAAACTTTGAATGGAAATATACAGTATTGCAAATTATATTCTTCTTAATTCTATTCTATGCTATGCGGTTAAAGGGGTTGTTCACCCAGAAATAAAAAAAAAATCTCATCTTTTATTCTCCCTCATGTGGTTTTAAACCTTTATGAGTTTCTTCTGTTGAACAGAGGACAAAAATTTGGTGGTTGCTGGCCATCGATTTCCTTAATAGGAAATAAATTACTATGGAAGTCAAAGGCTGCCTGCTATCACTATTTTTTAAATACCTTCTTTTGCGTTTAACTGAAGAAAGAAACTCAAATAGGTTTTGAACAAGTGATTAAATTTAAATTTTCTCTTAAAATTCATTAATTTTCCTTCAGCTTAGACCCTTATTTATCAGCAGAGTGAACCACCAACTATTCCAGCATTTGTTTTACATAGCGGATGCCCTTCCAGACGCAACCCAGTACTGGGAAACACCCATACACTCTCATTCACACACTCATAACGCACTATGGCCAATTTATTACATCCAATTCACTTAGAGCACATGTCTTTGGGCTGTAGGGGAAACCGGAGCACCCGGAGGAAACTCATGCGAATTCGGGGTGAACATGCAAACTCCATACAGAAATGACGACTGGCCCAGCTGGGACTCAAACCAGCGACCTTCTTGCTGTGAGGCAACAGTGCTAACCATTGAGCCACCATGCCATCCTCTTAAAATTCAATCAATAAATAAAGCAAAACGTGTGTAAAATCAGTGTTGGTGAATAAATGAAACTTTGAAAACCATTATTAAATGATAAGCAATGAAAGTCAGATAATAATGATGGATTTTAGTTTAAAACACAAAGCCTTCATGTCTACTGTCAGATTTATTTAGCTTTAGACTAGAATTTGATGGCTTAACTCAAGGTTTCAGGCTCCCTGTAAGCTCTTCTTTCTATTTTCCAGGTGCTCTTCTGGGTGGTGACCTCAACAATTCAAATGGAGCGTGCCCGAGCCCTGTGGGTAAGTCTTGCCTCCCACTAGCCAGACGGCCCCAATAACACCTCTTCATTTTCACCTGAATTATGCATCAGTCTGAGTCAAGCTGCTTAAAATCGAAGGGCACACTTAAGACCCACAGAGTGGAGAGAGGCTTTTTCCATCTCATCCGATAAGATATGATCTGATCTGACTGTGATTATGAGAATGACAGCAGCTCCGTGAAGGTTGTCCAGGCACAAAATCTAAAAGCGAGTGATCAGTCCACTGTCACACACCTGTTTGCTCATGACAGCTGAAGCTCATAGTGTGCTCTCCAAGCATGCCTATAAACACTCTCTTGGGACCGTGGGGCACGAGTAACAGAAATGTTACGGTTCAACACCATGCATGTCAGTTTTCCTACCCAAGCCTTCTGCTATCACTCTCTTTTTGACCACATTAAAACCTGGTGTTCAAATCCAGAGTGAACATTTCGTCAGTGGTACTCACTTGTTTCAAACCTGTATGACTTTCTTTCCTCTGTTTAATACAAAAGAAAATATTTTGAAAAATGTTGGTGTCCGAATAATGGTTGGTCACCATTGACTTCTTTTGTTGGATCTCAAGTGGAACACTTAAAGGGATAGTTCACCAAAAAATGAAAAATTTTCCATCATTATTTTCCTTTGTTCCCAACGGTTAAATAAAAAACAAGATACTTAGAAAAATGTTGGAATCCTGTAACACTGATTTCCATAGTAGGATGGAAACAACAAATAATATGTATATCAATGGTTACATTCTTCAAAATTATCTTTTGTCCTCATGAAACTCAATAAAAAACTTGTTGAAACATTTTAAGTTTAAATAAAAAATTTTTTGGTGAACTTTTTCTTTGAACAGACTGTTGCATGTTGGGAACTGTTTTATCTAACGGAGATACTGCTGACCAAAGTGCTGTATATGTTTGTTGTTTTTTTGTTGTAATTTTGCTCCAGTTATATACTCACAAAATGAGATAACTGATAAAGGGTCCGAACGTGCTTTTGGCGTTGTGAGGCTTCTTACTAAGGGCCTTGCTGCGCCTTGCATTTTTTTGTCGTTGCGCGCAACGCGCTTGCAGTTAAAAAAAAGTGAACTCTGAGCAGAAGAAGTGTGTTACGTCAGTGGCGTCTTTTTCATTCTCCAATTAAATGAAAGCAGAGGGTTTCCGGTGAGGTGACAACAGTGTTTGTGTGGTCAAGACGACAACAGAGACTTTTGAAGATAAAGGAGAGACTTGTGGCAAAGTCCTTTTAAGGCAAGGCATTTCACTTGGCACTCATCTTTGAAATGCCTCTTGGGCAGTTTACTCGGGCATTCTGTCTGAATGGGAAACCATCAAATTCTCCAAAACTGCTTGCCAAGCTTACCATTGAGTTTCATATTAGGAATCACCAGTAAAATTAAACAACAATTGTCTCTTTAGTTTTAATTCTAAACATCCGAATCACACAAAAATCTGCACAAACTTAGTCTGGTCCGAGCCCCTCTCCCAGAGTATTGTCAGTCTATAGCAATCGATGATTGGCTCCTGTACTAGAAGGCAGGCTTTATTCGCTATATAGCAATCGATGATTGGCTACTGTACTAGTAGGCGGGTTTTATTAGCCATATTTACCACTATACCTTTCCCCATTCAAAAAGAAATTAGTGACATGTCTTTTTTTATTCTATAGTAGAGCTGTATGAATCTTAAATCTTGAATTTCACAATATTATTAAATATTAAAATTATATCAATATTAACAGCAACACTTGCGCACAATACCCAGCTGATTCAGTCGTTGCCTAGCAACATAGAAAAGCGCACCGCCCTGCACGCCTCGTATTTTAACCACCTTTTGCGCCTCATGTTTTTGCTGTTGTGCGCAAGCAGTTAAAAAAAATTCATCTCTGAGCAGGGAAAGCACGTTACGATTCTCCAATCAAATAAAAGTAGAGGCGGGGTTTTCATTGAGGTGACAGCAGTGTTTCGAGAAGAGACTAGTGGTCACTGTTTTGAGTTATTTGAAGCTGTATGACTTCCCAAATCTTTATATATATATATATATATATATATATATATATATATATATATATAACAATATTATTAAATATTAAATTCATACCAATACCAACAGCAAAACTTGCGCACAATACGCAGCTGTTTCAGTCGTTTTCTAGCGACATGAAAAGTGTGCCCCACTTCTTTTTTTCTTGTCAACAAAAAAGGCATTGCAGTGCGCCTTGCGTTTTCAGAACGGAAAAGCATGTTCGGTGTGATTTGGCTACCTTGCAAAATAATGTGCTTGGTCAGTCAACGTAGAATAGGCAATCTAATGTGACTCATTTAATCACATGCATGTCTACACAACCTTATTACATGTATTTGATCACCTCTGGATGTAGTCAAAAGCAGATAAGCTCAAATTGATTCAGACCCGCTTTTTCACCTTAACTTGTCATCATCCACTTGTGATCAGATTATTGAAAACGCTTGTTAATACCAGGTCTGAACGAGGCTTTTATTCCTCCTTAATTTTTTTCTGTGCTTCTGAGGACTTGTCTTTCCATCCTTTTCCCCTCTCAGCTGTTCTTCATATCTCATTCATGACATTCTGAATACCCAGCTTAAACCAGCACGCTCCGTCCCGTCTCGTCCCGTCCCCCTCTGTCACACTCCCTTCTCTCCACCCAGCCAATCTTGACTGTCCCTGACAGCTGTAGGTTCTCCTGCTTGTGATCATCAAAGAGCACATGAGTCTCCTGAACATTTTAAGTGACCATTTAAAATGTGAACATTTAATCAGCAACGAGGCTAACGGCTCTTGTGGAGTCACCAAAAAAACACCTCCCAAGTTTTTACTCCTAGTATTAACTTTACTCATGTTTTAACTTGCAACCACGTTATCAAAGTTTGAGGAGGGAAAACAATCAAACAAATAAAGCTTTGGTGAAATTAAATTGATTCAGTTTATTTATTAAACATAATTAACAAAATATAATAAAATAGACATAATTTTTTTTTTTGTAAAATTCCATTTTAATTTATAGATTTTTATAATACATTTGCGTGAGATATATATATTTGATAATAAACATTTTAATTTCTGCCCTTTTTCAAATTAAAATATGAATGTATATCTATATCTATCTTAAAATTACATATAAATTAAGATATCAATATATTTAATATTATATTTTTACATTTTGGCACTCATTTATTGCATATAATAAACAAAAATATAATAAAATACACAATTCATTTTTAATAAAATTCCAATTTGAAAATTTAGTTAGATATAGATATATTTAATAATTAACATTTTAATTTCTGCCTTTTTTGAAAATCAAATATATCTATATCTATCTTATTATTACACCTGAGTTAGATATCAATATATTTGATATTAGATTTTTTTGACGCATTTTCTGGAGATTAAACACCTCCTTTCAGATTTAGTATTGTTTTGCACCCTATCCATGGAAAGTGGTTTAATATAAATATATATGATTCAGATTTAGTTCAACCAATAAACCTGCTCAGCTCTGAACGAACTGCTTCTCCTTGTCCATTACCTCTACTTGGGTCTTCTTCTCTCTCTCTCTCTCTCTCTCTCTCTACCCTCTCTCTGTGTCTGTCCATCGCCCCTCCCTTCCCTCCATTCTCAGCTGTTGCTCTGGGAATGTCAGCATTGACGTCATCCAGCATTCCTGCCATTCCCCTGAGAGAGAGGGACAGAGAGTGAGAAAGACACAGACACAGACGAAAAGAAAATCCAGTCAGACCTTTGAAGTAGAGATTAAGAGAGGCCAGGGCTTACAGCAATAACTCGTATTTATTTACCAACACAGACAGCACTCATACAATCGTATCCACTGGATTTACCAGCATACTTTCTGACCAGAGTTCATGGAGCATAAACAAGTGTGTTTATACACGTTTCTGTCCCAGACTGAAGTTAAAGCTGTGTTTCCTGGGGCAGAGAACAGCTGAGCACGTCTCTTCGCTGCTGCCAAGGAATTGCAGCTCCCCTTGCAATCTCTTTCCATTCAGAGCTGCTGACGAGGTTGTTGCACACACACAGACATCTAGTGGAGCAACACGCAGTTGTTGTTGCCCTGTAACCTGAGCTCAGATAGGATAAAATATCAAACTCCAAAAGTCTCTTCAGTCTGTAGCTGATACAAAATTTTTCTTTGTTGAACTTTTTTATTTAGTGAATTAATACATTTTTTGGCACATAGTACATTTTAGAAGCATTAAAGAAGACTGCGATTGGTTGGCAGAGTTTTAATACTTTAATCAGTGTCCCAATATTAAGAATACCCATCAAGGTAAAAATTAAAGTGGACATTTTGGGAGATTTGATAAAAGTGTGTGCTTCAACAAGTGAAAGAATAATCATGTTTTAGTAAATCATGACTGAAATTATGTATGATATTCTGTAGGAATAGTTGAAAAGGGTTGTGGGTTGCTGTACAGTTTTAAAGAGCCCTTATTATGCATAATAAAAGGTTATTTTTGGTTTTGGGGGTATACAATAACAGGCTGATATGCATGCAAGGTCAAAAAACACTTTTATTGTCTTATAATATACATAAATTTTTGCCTAATTATCCCAACGACTCCCATATGATTTGTTCAGTGATTAATTTGTTTCCAAACCCCTCCGTTACATGAGGCTAATCTGCTTTGATTGATCCAATGACCCAGTCTGTTGTTATTGGTTGACTGGGTTCAACGTGAAACAGAGAGAAATGCCCAACATGGCTATAAAGTAGCACACAAAGTATGTGAGAGCCCAATGCAGGAATGCATTAAAGTAATGCAGTTAAACACCAGCCTTTCTCTACTCTTAAACCTAGCTTCAGTATTAATCCACACAGTGACAAAAGTTGAACTATTTTGAAAATTGGCCGTGCGTGTGAGGAACAGCTGATGGTGGCCATAGCAAAGACAAATGGCGAGTTCAGAAACTCGAATACTCGAATAAGATCGCGAGTTCAGAAACGCATTTA